TTTTTTTCTTGATATCCTATAATTACAATAGATCTAATGCCTTGAAGAAGTATGCAATGAATGCTTAATAATGATAATCTGGAGAGTCTAAATTGATGCAAAAAAAAGAGAATGAATATATGATCACTATGTTTTAATCGAATCTTTTCATATGAATAATGAAAGAACTAGATTGTTAAGGCTTATTCTCTTTCGTGACCTAAAATTTTTGTAAATTTTCGGCCATTGTATAGTTTGAAGTAGTATATATTTACTGAGTACATTGTGAGATGCAAAAATTACCTTTAAATGCTAAAGAATCAAATTTACGTAACGAAGAGAGCAAAAACTATACATTGTTTCGCATTTTTCTCAAATCAACTTTTCTAGCTCAATTAAAGATGACTTCTTGAAAAAACGCGAACGAAAATTGAGATCAATATGGTCTAAATTTCTCATAGAAGACAGCATCCGGAAACTTTTACTCTCCTTATCAAGATTTATCTGCTCTGAAAATTTCAAACTTGTCTCATGAGACATTCTCCAGAAATTCCAGAAAGCGAGGGACTGAAGCTAATGTAAATCTTATAAATTAATAATATTATCTTTGATAATAGAAAAGTGAGAGCCACAAATATTAAAACACGAAGAAGAATTTTGTCTAGAGTTTTGTTTGGATTTTGATATTAGTACAAAGAGAATCATACTATCTTTAATACAAACGACCTAAATTAAACTAAAATAATTGTAATTTATATTTATTTTAAATTTATTTTATGATTTCTATTAATAAATACATCTTTGTTTTGTTTTTTCTTGTTTCATTAGACATGGACAAGATTTCGTTGTGATTGTTCTAAAACGGGTTATAGTGGTGCTGTATGTCATATCAGTGATAATCCATTATCATGTCTTGATTACAAATTAAATCGTATGAAAGTTGATGAAATAATTCCTGAACGTTTAACAATAATTGATATTGATGGTAGTGGTCCATTATCTCCATTTCCTGTTGTATGTCGTTATGGTGGTAAATCCGAAATTCTTAATGTAACAGAAATAGGTCATTATCATGAATTAGAAAGTTATGTATCAAGTGGTTATCAATTACCTAATTCAATTTATTCTCAAACAATCAATTATCGTGTACCATTACCACAAGTATTTGCTGTTATTGATCGTTCATATATATGTAAACAATATATTGAATATACATGTTTTAATTCACGTTTATTAAATTATCCCAATTCACCATTTGGTTGGTGGATTGGTCGTACAAATCAAACAATGGATTATTGGGGTGGAAGTGAAATAGGAACAGGAAAATGTTCATGTGGATTAGATATGACATGTGCTAATCCAAATTTATTTTGTAATTGTGATTCAAAATTTACAACTGAACTTAAGGACGCTGGATATTTAACAAGAAAGGAATTTTTACCTGTTCTTCGAGTTGAATTTGGTGATACAGGTATAATAGGAGGTTTCTTTTAAATGTTGTTTTTTGAAATAATATTTTATAGGGCCAGCTGGTTCACCACAATATGGTCGTTATCAAGTTGGCCGTCTTCAATGTGAAGGTGATTTACTTTATGATAATACAATAACATTTCGAAAAGCTGATGCAATTATAACTGTACCACCATTTGAAGCTAAAGTAGCTGGTGATATACGTTTTCAATTTAAAACTGGTTTTGATTCAGCAACATTTGGTTCAGCTATTATTGTACAAAATATTGGTTATGATGATGGAGATCTTATTGAAGTAAATATTCGTTTTGAATAGATTGATTATGGAAAATTATTTTTTTTGTTCTTGTTAAGATTCGTCTTCAAGCACCACGTGAAATAGCTTTTCGATATAGTGTTGGTCGTGGTACAAATATTGTAACTATACGTTCACCATATGATTTTAATGATAATGAATGGCATACAGTACAAGTAGAAGTTAATCGACAAGAAGCACGTTTAACAGTTGATAGTCTATCAGCTGCCAATCCAGAAGATCAAACAACATTTCGTCATATACGTTTAACATCAAATTTAACTATCGGTGCATCTGTTACAAATCGAAATGGTTTTGTTGGATGTATACGCGCATTTCAAGTTAATGGAGAATTAATTGATTTAAAATCTCAAGCATTACGTGGAATGTATGGAATATCACCAGGATGTATTGGTAAATGTCAAAGTAATCCTTGTTTGAATGGTGGACGATGCAATGAACGTTGGTCAACATATGATTGTGATTGTACATTTACACCATTTCGTGGACCAATTTGTTCAACAGAAATTGGAACACGATTAGAAGCAAATACGATGATTAAATATACGTTTCCAACTGAAGGTAAAAGAATAGTTTATAAAATTTGAAAAAACAAACCAAAGAAGACATTCAATAAAAATAATACGTAGAGATTAAGAAAAGTTCTTTTTGATTCTGATTGGATAAGATTTTCTTGAATATTAGCTTTAAAAAATGTTCGACGACTTTCTTATTAACTACAAACTCAATCTAAACAACATTCATGTTACTCTTATAGACAGAGTTCATTGGATCAAAATATGAACTCTATTGTCCATTTTAACCTTTCTTTTTTAATGTCTTATCATTGATTCAAATTGCCTATAGTAGCAGTAACTTTGTCGGATAAATAGTGTTTTATTTAGCACAGTTGAAGATTGTTCTACTAATTTATCTGACCAATATAATTCAATAGTATTAGAACTTTCGATTATTTTGAAGAGCCAGAAAAACGAAAATTTCGGCAGAAATTACTATCGTTCATCTTTGTGGCAGGCGTCCAGCAGAAGAGACTGAAGTCATCAATTTTGTATGATAATGTATTTAGCGAGGGAAACATCCTAGTGACACCGATCGTTTGAGTTGATACTGGATCCACAGGTGGATTTCAGTGAGAATAGTAAAAGCTTGAAAGACTTTGTTCTCATGATCCTTTGTCGCCGAGTTATGATCGGTTTACTGGAATTTTGACCCATTTTTAGGTACTTCTAGGAGTAGGTCGAATCGCAGAGTTTCGATCCCCAATATCGCCTATAGAAAAAAAATCTAATGATTCTGAGAATATCATGAAAAGTTTAGCTGACAAGAATGTTTCTTCTTCGACTTATTTAATTTTCAAGTAAACTCGATTTTTATGACAAAGAACTATTTTTGAAAATTCAATATCTTAACGAAGAAATATTCTTTTTATCTGAAACTTCCAGGACACTCTAAGAATCACCGCACCTATCTATCGGCAAAATTTTAGATTGCAATTGTGTTATTTAATTTTGTGAAAAGTGCCTATAAATAACTCGAAAATCTACTAAACCAATCATAACTCGATGATAAAATTCCATGAGGACGAACCTTTTTTTAGGCTTTTGTTAATCTTGCTAAGATCTGACTGTGAGTTCAATATGAGATAAAGGACTTGTGCTACTTGAAGTAGTTTCCTCGTAAGAGAAAATATCTTGGTATGAATATCTGCCAAAAAACAGAAGTAAAACTGTTAAAATTTCGTTTTTATCAGTTTCTCATGTGACTGTAAAAAAAGTTGCAAAAATTTTGAAATTTTTGTGAAGATAAACGCCCATAATTTCCTCTCTAATCGATTATCTTGAACATTATTGTGATTCATTGAAACTTTAATATATTTATTGACATTCTGCAAAAGAAAATTCAATAGAGTATATAATTTATTTGTTTCTTTGTAGGGGTTACTGCTACTGAAGAAGAAACTATTCGTGTTTTATTTACAACATATAAAAAACAAGGTATATTAATGCAGTTAAAATCCGATAAAGTTGATGAAAAAGATATGATTGATTATTTTACTCTTGAAATGAATAATAATGGTGGTGTACGTGTAAAACTTAATTACGGTTTTGATACATTTGAATATAATGTTCCATATGATTTAACAAATGGACAAGATCATGAAATTATTGTAACACGTCGTGATTATGGTAAACGTATTATAATTAGTGTTGATAATTATGAACCATATATTGATGCATTTCGTCACACGCAACAAATTGATATGCAATTTGATAGTCCACGTGTTATGTATATTGGAAGAAATGAAACAACACCACCTGAACAAGGTTTTAGTGGTTGTATTGCACGTTTACAATTTAACCGTATATTTCCATTAAAATATGCTTTTTTGGAAGAACGTGATCCACATATAACATGGACTGGTGGAAATATTCGGTAAATTAGAATAAATAATAAAAATAAAACATAAAAACGTCACTTTTTTTTGTAATATTAGTGAATGGCCATGTGGTACCGAACCTGTGAAATATCCACCTGAACCTGTAGAGATTCCACCTGATCGTGGATTTACAATACTTGGTTTGTTTATTTCTCTTTGTTGTGTAATAATTAAATAATTATTTATATTTTTTTAAGTATTACCTCGTCCAATTTATGCACAAAATATCTATGTAAGAAATTTAATTATTATTCTAAGCATAATGGGTTTTGTTGCAATATTTATTTTTATTGGTCTTGGTTTATGTTATCATAAAACACGTAAAAGTGGACATTATAATACAAAAGAAGATCAAGGTGCTGATGAAGCTATCGATGCTGATACAGCTATTATTAGAGGTGATCCACGTCATCCAGATTTAACTGAAGCAAAAGAATGGTATTTTTAAATTTATTTCTTGTTTTTTCTTGTTTTTGCAATCGCTCATTAAAAATGAGCTTAATCCTTTGCTCACATCTGTACATATCATAAATGGTTTTTTTTTCTTGTTTTTGATATGTGCACTTATTTTTGTATATAGTCATTTATCTAGACATTCATTTTCTTGACTGTATTTGTTATTTGTTTTTTTTTTTCTATAATGCATTTTTTGTTTTGAAAATGATAATGTTAGCATTCAATTTAATTGATATATATGAAAAATAAAATAATAATTTTCTTCTTAATAAATAAAAAATGATTATGAATCTCGACATAGGAACTTTTTGTGTTTCTTTTTTTCTATTTAGTATTCTAGAAATGGTTTCATTACTTGAGAATATTGATACTGTTAATGCTGATAATGCTGATGATTCTGATGCACCTATTGAAGTAACAACGAAAACATCAAAAGTTGAGAAGAAAAAGAAGAAGAAGAAGAAAACGAAACGTCGCATTCAATATACACTTGCGACGGAAGAGGATAATGATCCAAATGATAAACATTTAGATGAAGAATCTGCTCTTACACATTTAGTTTTTGGTGATGATGATGATTATCTTGATGAATTAACATCAAGAGCTACAACAGATAAACAAGTATATCTAAATGCATCATACATATGATAATATGAATTAAGTTTCTATTCTTCATAGACTACTACAATTAAAACAACAAAAGTAACAGTCGAATCAAAAAAACCAGCATGGATCGATAGTGAAGAAGTAACAGAAGAAATGTTAGTGAAATTTTTTTGAGAATTTAAAAAAATAGAACTTGTTTTTCTTTTAAAAAATATTCAGTGTTCGTGAACCAAATTTCAATCAAATGTGTCCACGAAAACGTCGAAAAATCACCACGGGAGAATATGAAACAAAACTTAAATTCGAGTAAGATATTTTTTTTGAAATATTCACGTCTGATCGAAAATTTTTTGGACAAGATGTTTTTGTTCACTTTTGCTATTGGTTAGAAAGTATTTCCAACGAGTCAAAAGCTATGAGTTAGGATGCTTTTTCTTTGAGTATAGGTTTAGAAATTTTGTTTGAGAGTACTGCAGTAGTCTTCGAAAAGCCCAAAAAGTTACTTTAGACGGTAATTGTAGGCTGACATTTCTGGTGAACATTTTTGCTGATTTGAGTCTACTTAAAACCAATTTAGACTAAGTAAAAACTGTAGGTCATGACCAGAATTTGAATATGACTTTTGATACCTTGTGTCTATTTTTGTTCAAAGAACGATGAGAGACTTTTTGACAGACCTAAAAAAATACTCTTAATAGTGCGCCAACTCTCTACAAAATATGATATTGAACTAAGCTGTACCTTTGATGTAAGAAAGACTACAAGCATTTTTCAAGAGCTCCTTTCAACGTAAAACAGTTGTCAAGTTGAGGTACCTTGTTCAAAGACAACAAAAAAAGATCTTCAAATGCTGAATTTTGTAGGGTAGCTTCTCATCTACAAACTGATACATGAATAAAGATTCAAACTTTTGGTTTCGAATCCCAATAGTGAAATAAAAAAAAACTATTCGACCCAAACAATTTTTTTGCACTTTTCAAAGATTATTTTACTATTCTCGAAAAAAATTTCTAAGTTCATATTCGCAAAGAGCATCCTAACTCATAATTTTTTACGCCTTAGAAATACTTTCTAGCGGATCAGGGAAAGTAATCAAAAGTACCTTGTTTAACAACTTTCTGATCATCCTTCATTCAAATTATTTTTCTATTTTAGATATGAACGTGTTATGGGTCGGCCATCATGGGCAGAAAAATTATTAAACAAAACAACAGATGCAGGTAATCAATCACGTTCGATTTCAAATATAAAAAGAACAACCAAAATTTTATTTTGCTTTGAACCATTTTTTTTTTGTTGTTAGATGATAGTGATGAAGAATTATTTCGTCGTACGGGGAACTATCTAACAAAATCAACTGTTTTACGAGCTGGAACAATTGATTGTTTACGTTGTGCAGATTTTAAACATGATGTAGCTCATTCTGTATGTGTTATTTTTTTTTTGAAATATTTTATTATTCAATTATGAGATATATATTTTTTTAGAAACTTTTACGATCGGTCGAATTTCATCCGACTGCTCGAATACTTCTTACAGCTGGACGAAGTCAATATTTAAATTTATATCAAGTAAAAATTAAATAAAAAAAAGTAATTTTCTAATTAATGATAAAATATTATTTACTTAGGTTGATGGAAAGAAAAATGAACGTATTCAATCACTTTTTTTTGATCGATTTTCAATTAATACAACACATTTTAGTCAAGACGGTAATCAAGTGATAGTTACCGGTGATCGAAATTTTTTTAAAGTTTATGATATGATCGAAGGAAAAATTATGCAAATACCCATGATGAGAGGTAAATAGATATAGTACGTATATTTATCAAATTAAATAGATTTTTAATTCATATTAGGATTTGAAGAACGTTTGGGTAAATTTGAATTAACTCCTGATGGATCTTTAATTGTATTTATTAATCGAAATGGTCAATTACATTTTGTATCTGCAAAAGTATATCAAATATTGTCTTTTATCTAATTTATAATTCCTTAAATATTTTATTTCAGTCAAAAGAATTAATCGATAGTACTCAACTATCAGGAAATATTAATACTGTGACATTTCGACACGACAGTGAACTAATGTTTGCTTCCGGCGGTACAAACTTCTGTCATGTTTTTTTTTTTCTATTATTAAAAAAAGTTTTATTTTGATTATTTATTAGATGAAGGTATTGTCACAGTTTTCGATATGCGTCGACGAGCAGCTATACATCGTTTTGTTGATGATGGTAGTTATTCAACAACGAATATGAGTGTTTCACCGAATCAACAATACTTGATTACTGGGTAAATGATTTCTTTTGATATGTATTTCGAATTTTTTTGTGAAACACAATTTCAAAAGAGTGTTAAAGTATAGGGGCAAAAATTGGAACTCCCACAGATCTTGACAAGCATTGTTGTACGATCATAGCACAGTGGACAACAACGTAAAACGTGTGGTCAAAACAATAAAAGCGATATTTATTGAAATTTTAAAAATGTAGAATTTACACTAGCCAGGGACCCATTTTTTTGGTTTAGAAAAAGTATTCTAGCTCATTAAAAGTTTGGAAAATCTTAGATTCTAAAAGTGGCCAAGTTAAATGTCATTTTAGAGAAGGATATTTTTTTTACAAGATAGTAGAAAAACATAAGGAATGAGTCATGCTGATTCTGAAAATAAAGCTCTTGCTCTATTGTTGAGTATGAAAAACTTTGTTCTAACAGTTTTCTTGGTGGAAAACATGCATTTCTCAACTAGAATTTTCTAAAAAGATGCGTTCAGTGTATTGGGCGTACACATTTTAACATAAATCTAAACTTGATTAAACTTTCAAAGAATTTTCTTCTCTGTTTGACATGGCTATTCAGCTAGCTTATAGATCCGTAGATGCTTCAGGACTCAGATAGAGGTTTTCTTAAAACAGCTTCGTTTCTAAAGGTTTTTTGTATTCTCTTGTCTCGAGAGTACTTCAAGAGAAAAAATAAGGACATATTTGAAATTAACACGAAAACTTGCATCAAATGAAGTGTCATTGATTAATTTCCAAAATAAAAATGTTTCAATAAAAATTTAGGGTAAGGATTGCGTGATGCATTTTCTGTTGTAAAATGTTCTTTTACAAATTTCAGCTTTTTCCCAATAATCTTTTTGTTGAGTATTGAAATCAATATTTCTATGAAAAAAATGCGCCTTTGACAAAAAATGAGCCATATACATGTGCTCAATAGAATGTGCCCACTGGACAGACCAAATGTCGACACCATCTTGTTATCGCCTGTGAACTACTTCCTTTTAGCTTTTCTCGAGTGTTAAGTAAAAGAATAATGAAGGAAGGTGTCAAAAAATAGATCAAATAAAACAATCTCCGTTTGATAGCTAAATCGTGTTTCTCATATTAATGCCGTAGGGATTGTGCTAATAGCTTTTTCTCATTAAATTTTATTGCTTTCAGTCAAAAGAGTGGCATTGTTAATGTTTATTCATACGATGATGTATTTAAAAATGGTGAACCAAAACCGATAAAATATTTGAAAAATTTAACAACACCAATACAAAATATTAAGATAAATTCTAGTTCAGAATTATTAGCTATTAATTCATATCATTTACCACGAGCTGTTCGATTGGTAAGAGAAAATAACCTTTTCAAACATTCTTATGAACATAATTTATTTGTAAATTTTGTTTTTTAGATTCATATGCCTACATTAACTGTTTACGAAAATTTTCCAGAATTTCATGATAAAAAAATTCAAATTGTTAATGCATTGGATTTTTCACCTAACAGTGGTTTTCTAACATTAGGCAACAATAATGGCAAAGTGCTTTTGTATCGACTTAAGCATTATAGTACTTATTAATACTAATTATTATTATTGTTGTTATTTTGCTACTTGTTAAAATAAAAAAAAAAAACTCGTACTTATTGATATGTTTAACATTATCGAACATATCTTGACCAAAAAACATTTAAGCATTATCATTCTTTGAAAACTATCATTCCAGCAAAGATCAACAACTTCTATTATGCATAGAATACTATGAATGAATATTATAAATATTTATTTAAACAATTATCTCTCATATAAAATAAGTTATTTAATACTCTATCTATCAAAATTTGTAGTATGTGATGGTTATATTGTTCAAACATCAAGAACGTTAAGAGTATTTGCTTGTAATTGCTTTTAGTTGTTCTATACAGCTAGGAATCTATTAAACGAAATATTATTTTTATTTTCCATAGTTCGTAAAAAATTGCTTTTGTGTAATTTAAACGAATAATCAATAAAAAAAAATCGATGAAATCGTTAAGTCGAGAAAGAACTAGAATACTTCAAATTTTCAATAAACTTCAAAAGAGTTCAATGAGCTGCACTGGACTTTACGAGACTTCTAGGACTTCAAGAAGTTTTAAAGTCTTCACAAGACTTCTCAATTGAAGTTGTTACTGCTTGCTCCTCGGGTTAAGTTTGTTAAAAATAATAAAAATTATTACAGTAAATGAACTTCTTAAGGTACCTTGAAAAATAAAAGTAAGACGGCAAGGTGCTTTTCAACCAAAATTCACGTAGAAAATTAATTGTTCAACGACACATATGTTTTTTTGCCTATAGATAAATAATGTGGTAAATATTTATCTATTCATGATGAAGCATTAAAAACAAACTGAAGAACATTAAATTCTTCTTATCAATATCATGAAAAATCTACCATTTCCTTCATTTCATGTTTTGATTCATATGTATCAAAGAAATACTGTCTATTGTTTTATTTTATTTTATTCAAAACACACGATTGAAATTTGAACACCTTGATAAAGATTTAGTTACATGTCAAGCTACTTGAATATTTTATTTTTTTGTCAACAATCTAATGCTAGATCAATCATAGAAAATAGTAATAGAAATGATTCCAGAACGATCATCAAAGTTGCCGAGACGATCAACAACAGTATTGTTTAATGTCGTTTCATACAGCTGGTGGTCGTCAATAGTTGTAAATTGGAGTTTGGTAGGCTCAGTTTAACGCCCGTATTTTATCGTGCCATACATACTTGGTGACAGTCATCAAATGGCCTTAAAATCGTATACCCCACTGTTTACGATCCTTTACAATACGGTACAACATGACCGTCATACTACACTTACTAAGCAGCGACAAATCCATCTAAAAGGACCGAATGCAATAATATTTATGTGACCTAGACGTGTTTATGTGATGAAATATTCTTTTACATGGCCAACGGATAATCTTTTTTTTAATCAGTTTACAGAACTTGTTTTTCAATAGAAGAACATGATCCAATTATGTTTGTTCTTATAGTGCCTACAAATAATAATTATGTTGAATATGTCATCAGTTTTTTGAAATGCTCGATCATCTTAACACATAATAAATGTATAAAATTTATTGAAAATACAAGAAGAACTAATTGATGGATCATGACAGTTAGTGACAGAAATTAACTTTAAAATTATGAAATTCACTGTGAAATCCTATAAAAATTAAATTTGATTAAAAATTTAGGCTATTATACCATTAGGAAATAGCTGAAATGTTTCAAAGACTCTCCAAAAGTTTTTTTTGCTTTCAAGATATTTTCAGATTCCAAAGAATGAGGAAAATAATCATGGAGCACACCTCGATAAAAAGATTAGACATAATTACTTTTGAAAAAAATGATCTTAACGGTCGAGTATTCTCAAAACTCATTTATCTACTTCTTGTTCTTTCAGAAGCAGTAGCGGAAACTCTTGATAATTATTTGCGTCGACGAAGATGGAGAAAAGTCGGTCGATCCGTTCACGCCTCTATGTATGTGTAACAGATTGATAAGAAGGTTTCAAACACTTGCATGACATTAAAGGATGAATTTGTAATACAAGTAAACAGTGATCAATCTATTTCAATATTTTAGTAACGAATCTACCTGTATTTAGTGAGTTCAAATAATTATGCAAATCGATCTTGATGACACCAAATAACTCTCAAATGGTTTAATGTATGAATAGCTTCATGTAGAAAAGATAATTTCTTTTCTTGCTATTGTGCATGATTATATTCGTATAGGTGTCACAAGTTTGATTGACAATTTTCAAATAGAAGTCGTTGAGGAACTCTTTAACGCTCTGTCATCGAGAACATGTTCAATAAAAATAAACGTGTGCCCCTCTCGAGAATTCATATTATATGTCATTGCTAAAAAACATTATTAGTTTTACCGATGTTTTTTTTTTATTAATAAAATTGATCAATTTTCCTTTTACTTTATAATGAATATGATTTTAACACGAATAAAGCAGTTGATTTTACTGAATGAGATACAATGATTAATATAAGACTGTCATCATAGATTATAAAGGATAATAGAGAACAGTAATCGTTCAAATTAATTCAAAAAAACTGAAAAAAGTTTTCAGAATTCCTATTGAAATACTATTTTCTTTTTAACGATTGTCACATATTCAATTATATGGTATGCTTATGAATATCGAACATATGAACTAAAATGAAATTATGGTACGTATTATTCTAGTTTTTATTTCATAGTCTTGAATAGCATCAAACAATATTTTAGTGACATAAGTCTTCATATACTGTACAAAGTCTGTTTTTTTTTCATTTTTAGATAAAATGTCATTCTATTTATTATGGTTGTCTATTTAACATATTCTTCTACATCTCTCCGTAGAACAATTATAAAACACTTCATTGTATAGATATTAAAAAATTGTTTTATCAATAATTCATTTTATTTTAATCGATTAGTGTAAAGAACTGCCGGATGTATAATTTAATCAGAACACAGGAATCGAATCATTTTTTTAAATCACTTCATCATCATTGAAAAAAGAGTTATTCTATCTAATAGAAAAAAATTGAACATATAAGTTTGAATTATAGTCAAAAGAGTAGTACAATATCATGCATAATAAGTGATTGAGTTCATTTAAAGACAAACATGTTTCTTGTCAATTTATAGATGTAAGTTAGCTTTTTGTTAATTGAATCAATTTAAAAAAAAAGTATTTATATTTATACATATTGCTGGTAAAATGATTGAACATTAAATGAAAATATAGAACAGAAATTAATCTACACATACTCAGTGAGGCAAGAAAAAGGATAAGCTAGATTAAATGTCTCATTAGACGAGAATACTTCCTTCCCTTTCCTTTTTTATGTCATGCAAATATACAAGAAAAAATCACATAGACTAAATGAATATCAGGTTTGGGGTACTGCAACATTATTATTTTGTTATTCACCTAAAGGCCATAGAAGAGTAGTTGGCTACAAGTTATATATTCGAAAGACATTCATGTCTATTTTCAAATGAGAATATATGCCAATTCACACATGAATACACAATGACCTTTTCCAATGAATATAGAAGTAATCTTCTCTGAAATCTGATGTGCATGACTGTGGAAAGCTAATTTCTATAGTAGGTAAAAGTTTTGCTGTTTCATCTGTATATATTGAAAAACAGATTGAGAAAAATTAATGCATATAATTAGATGGGCCCGATAATTTCTTCAAACTGAAAACCTAGGAAACATGTAATCGGTTAGTAAATTTAATGAGACACTCAACATTTTATAAGAAATTGGAATAATTCAACCGAATACAGTATGTTCTTTACATTTTATGTCACTGTATGTAATCAGTGAATTAGATCAACATTTTTATAAAATGTCATATTTCTTAGATCTTTATTACATTGTTAGAGAATATCTTTTTTTAATGTAGCCATCATTTCTAAAATCTGCAACTTTTTTCTCGATAGAATCCTTTTTTTTCAAATCCTTTATTCATAAAAATTAAATTACTAGCATCTATGTCTATTATTTCTTATATAGAAATAAATAGATGTATGTATATATATCAGGTGCGTAATTTAATAAATCTTGTTTCTTATTTGTTAAACAATATATATTCTATTCATTGCTCTTAATTTCTTGAATCATACGTAGAAAAAAATTATTTTGTAAAAAACTATTATGTACGAATGAATAGAGATTTTCTGCTATTGTAATATACCATAGAGAAGAGCAAGAGAAAGAGAGAGGCGCTGAGATGAAAACAACAAATCGTGCTGGCATGCCAATTATACAATTGACTAAATTACACATTCGTTTCTGGACGTCTTTTTGTTATCGTCAAGGGCATTGTGTAGGAAGTTTTATCATTACTTTGTTGAAAGATAGCGTCTGTTGGTTTTTTGTTTGTCTATCTATCTGATTCCAAAAAAGGTCTTCTAATAGATAATATGCTGGTTTATATGCAGATTGAATTGAGTAAGTCTATGAGTTTCTATCTAGAATAAACAAACGTCTAAAACTATCGCATACTCTTTTCAGCACATTTCTTGAATATAATTCAGAATGAGCAGCAAAATACCAATTTTTTAAAATTCACTTTTAACTGTAATTTATTATACATTTCCATAGTATTTTGTATTTTTTTTTTCATGTATATAGGATGTTGAAAAGCAAAAAAAACACTATGAACAATCACCATCAAAACTTTTCATCTATCTTTTTCTTTCCTATCTGTCATCGTTATTTTTTTTTCTTTCAAGTAGATACTAAAAATGGAAGCTCATGCACGACTCTCTTATTGTCGTTGGAAATGGCCTAAGAGTCCATTAAACATCAAAGATCAAATGCGATACTTTCACTTGCTTTTGATGACATTTCTAACGTCACTAGAATGAAGACATCTATTTTATTATATAAAATCAGCCAACGCAAATTCGCTACTTTAATTGGAAGAGCTTACATAATATTGTAACGCACCAATTAAGAAATTTAATATTTTTTAAATTGAGTTAAGATAATATTTAATCAATAAAAAATGTAAGTAAATAGTTTTATTAAATTGTTTTGGTTTGTGGGTACTTTTAAGTTTTTCTTTACAAATAGTATGTAAATCGTTTGTGATATTTTTCCGACTATTTTGAGTAAGTTTTCATGATGTGCGAGGAAAAAAAATGAAGAGATTACAGTTAGGTATAAAATGAAATAATTTGAAATCAGATTAAGGATATGTTGTTGAATAAAAGAAAATAGATAAGCTCGACGAACAATTAGGAATTTATGTTTTTTTTTGTTGCATACTTTATATAATTAATTTTTGTTCTTGTGCTCTATTTGTTTCATAAGAGGAATTTCTAAACATTTTTTCAATTAACTAACATTTTTCTTTATTTTTTTGACGAAAAATCTTTTACGAATATAAAAAAAAGCTACAAACTAGAAAAGTACAAAAACAAAACAAATTTCTAAAAAGAATGAGAAAGAACGATGAAGTTTTTGGATATTTTCATATTTAATAGCTACACTTCAATATCAGCGAAAAGGAAAGGAATATTTTTTCGATATCCTTCGAGTATTATATATATATATATAATTAGATAATAATGTTTTCCAGCTTAGTATGTTTTTTCTCTATTGAATTAGCACTGCACAAGTAATGCTGTCGTAGATTTTATATCATTAAAGTAGAAATAATTAGTAAAAATTAACATGAAAATCTTATGTTTTATTTAGATCCTTCTAATAAGTTATTTATAGTTACTCTGATTAAATAGGCTTATTATAAATTTCAACCTTATATTCAATTTAATAATAATACCATACGAATGATTTCACGAGAAACTAAACAATACTTATCATATCATTAATTAGTATCTTATATGCAAACCTATATATAGATAATCAACGACAATAATAATTGAATTGATTAATAGTATATCTTTATAATTATATTTGGGTTCTATTAAAAGATATCAAATATAATATAGACTTAATTGAAGAAGACTTATTGTTTATCTCATAGGTAATTCAATCTTGAACATTGCTAGAATTATATATTTCAATTACATACTCTTATATGAAGAAAGATGCATTTAAAAAGAAATTATTTCTTGAATTTGTAGAAATTTGATGAATTTATTTTTCTCATTTCTTCCCTTAAGAAATCATATTTTCGAGCCGTATTATGAACGCATGAACACTCCCTAATGTCGTTCTTGTTATGCATTGGTTCATTCTTCCTTTTTTTCCACATCTAAACTTCATAATAGTGTCGTTTTTTTATAGTTAGATTCACCAGCATAATAAGTAATAACAAGTATTTTTTATTTTTTGGTTAAATAGGGTTCATGCATTTTTAATATATCCTTGCATAATTTTTCTGATTTATTTAAGATCATCTTTCTCTTTAACTAAAATTACGCAATGAATAATTTGTTTTATTTTTTTTCTCAATGAATTTGTCAATTACTGAGCTACAGTCGGTTGAATCATAAAATTAGGAAACGTTTTTTATCTCAACAAGAATAACTTATGAGTCTATTATGAGAGTTTAGCTTTAGAAAATATAGTTTCCATTACATCTTTTGCCATGAAACAATACAATTTTTTTTTTCAGTATTTTCATATAAACATTTGCTGAATATTTTAATTAAGGTTTAGATGATTTTCTGCTTAAATGATCCATATATTGTATATATTTATTTGTTTTTAATGAATAATTTATACTCTTCTACTGTCGTTTAGAAGAAGAAATCGATGTCTTTCTTTAATCTATTACGATATGAATATAGATGAGTTATCCACTGTTATTTTTTAGTAAATAATCAAACTTGTTGTTTTCCTCCTGATAAAAACCAATTCGATGTGATGGTCAATCACATATTGATTGTCTTTATAAATACAACATTTCTCTAGAGTAAATATTGTAAAGAACCAATCTCAGTTGATTCATACATGATTCAAAAACATTTCTAGTTTTTTCTTCGACCTCAGTTTCCGTTGTTAATTTCTAGCTTGCTTTTATGATCATCAAAACAAATATATAACGATAGAACTTCTATTGATTCTCTAGAGTTTTGACATGGCAAAAACAAAGAAGCGTACTGAGAGTATTTTTTAGCAAATATTCCAATATGAATAAAAAGACCGCAATACCATGCACTCATTTATAGTTTATTTTACTGACGGTCATTTGATGAATTTCTTAATCGTACCATATAATTATGAATGTAGTCACGAAATGCATCATCTGAGGTTAATAGCAATCATTCATTTGTAAAAAAAAACAAGATAAATAAACTTTTGCTTAAATGATATTTCTATTCTTATTGATGAATTTCGAACTATTCCGTTGTGGGACACTTTCTCTTTCATTATTGATTGAAGACTAATTCCTTTTTCTTGTGAAAATATTTCCTTTCATAGTACTTGCATCTGCCTGCAAATCGCATTTTTTGAGTTTACTTACACATTTCTTTTCCTCTTTTTTTTTCTCTTTTTCTCTTCTATAGCAATAAAACTTACAAGAACTCTTTTCGTTGAAGTATGTTTACAGTAAGTAAAAAAGAAAAAAAAAAAACTAGAATAAGAATAAAAGTAGAATAGAGACGACTAGCGACAGAATCACAATCCTAACAAAAGAAATCAATAGTGTCAGCATAAATAATGAATAGTATGTTATTATTGAGTTCTGAAAAATAGGAAATCTTATTCGACACGTGTACTTTTTCTTATCATCGTTCAACTTCAATTATCGTTCTATTACGTTTGACAAAAATACTTTTTGTCCTCCATTTATTCATATTAGAGTTTTCTATTGATAAGTTTCATAAGCAATGATGACAGGTCAACAGACAAAAGAGAAGAAATAAGTAACATAGATTAAGCAGAATAACTCTTGAGAAGAACTTAGAATTTGATTTATCTATCAAGATCTTTATTGATCTATCATTTAGATGAATTACTAATTAATAAGAATAACAAATGACGACACTAATCAATATTAGCCTTATAACTTATTTTATATTGGTGGCAATAATAGGGAGCCTTGGCAATGGTGTTATTTTATTAGCATATGGAAATCGTTGGAATTCATCAAAATCAACATCAGTTATATTCATACTTATTCTTGCTTGTGTAGATTTATGGACATGTTTAATTGTTGTACCAGCAATTGCCATAATGGAATATCGCGATTTTGATGTACCAACACCAATATGTCGTTTTTATTCTTTTTCAAAGAATCTCATTATTATATCATCATTTATTATGTCATTTATTGCTCTTGATCGATTTTTAAATATTGCTGTACCACATCATCGATTACTTAATCCACAACGAGTTAAAGTAAGTACTAAAAAATGACTAGAGTTTTAAGATGAAAAAATTTACTATGAGAAAAAATATAATAATGAAGCATATAGTAATTTTTACAATGTTAATACTGAATTTAACATATCTCATGTTCTGATGAGTTCTTTTCAAACATGATATAATGATAGTGAAAATATGGCTTCAAATTTTATTTACATATGTGTTTAGAATAAGGTTCAATATGTTTATTAGATAATGATTGTTTTGTTTAATTTTTATGACCCTAGACAAAAACATTTCTACTTTATATAACGGTGTTTTGCACTGGTGTTATTATAACTTTGCATCAATTGAAGAAGAAAATACTCATATTTTTTTTTGAACGAATGTATTCGGATAATAATTGTCGGCACTACTTGAGTATTACCAAGTAAATCATTTTCTTTCTCAATTGCAATATTATACTATCTCATTATATTTATTACAACTTGACATATCCTTCCTGACATCTTAGATAATCGTTATTGCATTCATTTTCCCCTATTATTATACATAGTGCGTTTGCTTTAAGTTTCAAGTTGAGATTTTTCTTTATCATTAATGATTTTACTCTATCATTTTAGCCTGAAATAGCAACATTAAATGGATGAGAGATAAGAAGATTTAAGAAAATGAAGCTTTATCATTTAACTTTAAACTAATAGTTACTTTTTCATGATTTTTGATATAGTCACAATTTTAATCTATCTCTTTCCATAATGTTATCTAATTATAGATAAACTATAATTTTACTAACTATTTTGTGTTTTAAACAAACATCTTAAGATTAATGATGATAGATAATTTGTCATCGAATCAATAGTTTGCAATATGACAGCTAGAATATTTTCGTTCTTTAGACCTATGAAATGTTCTTGTATTGATGTCATGTGCATGATATTCATAAAGTTGCATAGTTTATTTTGTCTAAACTGTTTTTTCTTGCTTATAATTTGAAACCAAAATATCCAAAAAACAAGACTTTGGTTCTTACATAAGTCAATATTAGAACGAATGTTACACCTTCATAGTCTATGTCATATCTACTTTTATTACGTTCTTATCAAAAGTTTAAAGTATATACATCGATTCGAGAAACAATTGCATTGAATGAGAGTCAAGATTGATGAATATCTATGATGCAGAAAAATGGAAATGAAATAGGAAATAGTAACCATATATGACAAGCAACATTGAATTGAACTAGAAAACCCATTAACAAATTGTTAGCTCTAAAACCTATTAAATTTTTATAATTAGTCAACTTGTACTTCAATTCAGAAAACTTCGAATTTAAATATAAACAAGAATACTTTTGATTAATAGCAGATATATCCTTTGAATGCATGAGTGTATTTCTATTCATAAGAAACGATCTTATTGGAATGTTTTTCTTCCTGACATAAAGATCTTGTCGTACTGAAACTGTCAGATTTTTTAAATCTCAATTAAATTTTTTCTTTCTCTATTAGGTTTATTTCGACTTTCATCCTGACAAGTTTTTAATATCAATAAAACTACTTAATAATGACATGAAATTTGTAGTTTTTTTTTAAATTCACTCAAAGACTTTGTTTAAATTAAGTAGACTTTGTCTTTATCTATTTCATAATAATATTCTAGGTTTTTTTCTCTTATTATTTCCTATTTCCTTTATATCTTATTTAATATTGAAGGTATTTGTCATCTAATTACTAACACAAACTTGAGACATTTCTTGATAATATTTTATTAAGTCTTAGGATATAAATGAAAACTTTGCTTTGATGTTCATTAACTATGCAATTCTTATTTGAGGACTCGAAAGAAATTAATCCGACTTTGTTCAACTTTTACGATTTGTCTGACAGATTTGATATTTTTGCACGTTTCACATCATAATTATACTTATTCATGCTATCCGGCATTTTATGAACTTTTACATTCACAATAAATTATTCGGAAATGTTTTGTTGTCCTATTTATCTATTTCATTGAATCCTAATTTTTCTGATTTCTTTTTTTCGGAAACGTTCTGGTCCCTGTTCAGATTGGACGGATAATGGTGTATTTTTTTTAATTTTGAGTGCATTTTTCCTAGAGTATCAAAAGCGATAGAGCACAATCTACCCTTGTATACTAACATACGTTAGAGAAAATTTCTTGATAAATTGTCATATTTGTGAACATTTTCGAATAGTATTGAATCCGTGATGATTCTTCAAATCATATTCCCTCTTGAGAAAATTTCTTCTTTTTATGATGGATTGTGAACCTCTAATCAAAAAGGCCGAAACAATCATAACTATTTGATACAACTAGAACAAATTGGAGTGGTGTCGAAAAACAAATTAAGAAATTAGAACCGCTGCAAATATAGCCTCTATATATATATACATATGTATGTCATCTAGTATAAAAATTTTGTTGTCGAAGTGTTCTAATTATTGTCAGAAAATGCCCTTGATGAAAAAAGAACGCAACCTCTGTAAGAAGTCTTTTCACAGAGAAAGAGATTCTTATTCTGTACTCATAAATATCACTCATCATATTTCTTTTTTTAATTTAATTATTAATAGATAGTCGTTGTTATCTATTAATTTATAATTTGAAAATAATTATGAATAGAAAAATATATAATGACCTAGGATTTTATCAATAATAGTATCAATATCGGTTTGTTAGTTAGTAATTAACTTCATCAACACATGTAATGAATATGTTGATATTCATCAATATACATCATCTATATCAACTACAGTCACATCATTAAGACTTCTCCGTTAATAATATCGAATATAGCGATGCAGACTTTTTTAAACAAACAGTTCTCTATTTATCAACGTTCCTTATTTTATCACAAACATCATTAAAATTCTTTTTACTCAGTTATGAACAATATTGAATTTATATACAATCATTAATATACAAACGTTTTGAATCAGAAAACATTGCACTAAGATCAGAATTTATATGACTAGCCTATTTACATATTTGTCTCCATATTCACCGTTGTGCTTATGATGTTTCTTTGTAATTAAATTAGGAACGAATCAGAAAATCACCATATGAACAACTGTTTTTTTATTTTGATGATTCGATAAAAAATACTTTCTTTGTACATTCAGAATACTGTCAAATTTTCTTCAGCACATCAGATTAAGATATATTACTAATAAGTTATTAAAATAAGAATCAATACAACTAGACTTTTGAATATCAGAAACGTCGGTAATTATCACAGTAAATAACTGTGTTTATAAAAATACTTCTCCTTCAAGGACGGAAACAAAATCTAAACGTTGTGTTTACATGATATGTCGTTCTTAATTCTAATCGATCAACAAGGTCACCGTTAGTCAATATTTCTCCATCGTCTCGACTAAATGTCAATAGTAATCAAGCATAACAATGATTTATCATACCTTTATGTTTGTTCTCTTGAATGATCTGAATTGCCAAGGTTATGAAAACCTGCGGACATCATGGAAATAAAATTGATATAAATTTTTGTAATGAATACAGATTTGAAAATATTTTCATTCAAAGAATCTTCATTCGGAACGCTAATCTAGTGACAAAAGACTTAACTCCTGTAGATTCATTTTTTGACAAAATTTCTCGAGAATTCTTTCACAATATCTAATGAAAAACGTCACGCGTTAATTGTGAGCTTATATAAAAAGAATTATACAAAATTTTTTTTTTAGGTTTTACTAAAATTATTTATCTCAATCGGCATCGGCCTTGGTACATTAACTGCATTAGCATTTTCAACTCAACCAAATAAAAAAAATTACCTTGCTAATTATGATTTTATTGCAGCAAATGGATCATATTTAACGAATAATCTTAAAGAAGTTTCTTTAGATGTCGATCGGAATATCTCATTACCATCAGATATAATCGATTTAATTAGTGAACAACTTTCTATTGACGATGGTGCTAATTTAACAAACCTTACTTTGGAATATAAATCAACATCCGTACGATGTTTTGCTGATACATCAATTATATCAGAAAATTTAAGAGATTTATTAAAACATGTATCAAATAAAGTGTTTTTTACTTTAATTGGTATAGTCACAATTTTTTATACAATTACATTTGTACTTGCTTTACATCGACAAAATCCACGTATACGTGCATTAAAGAAAAGTTTAAATGTTTTAAATAAATTTGATTCATATCCATTAACTAAATCTAATCAACGACCAGCTGATTGTATTGTTTCAATTCAACCACCATTATCTTCATCAGGAAGAACAACAACAACAACAACAACAACATTATTATCATCAAAAGAAGCAACAATTGTACTAAACGAATCAAATCATTCTGATGATAATAAATTATCAAAACAAAAAATAACTAAACCTTGTAGTATTATTGATGAAAAACAATATGAAATGTCAAATTTTATTAATAATTATGATAGTGATGATCAAAATAATCCATCACCACTTTTATTGAAAAAAACAAAAAAGTGTAAAGGTAAAGCACAGCAAGACCGTGATACTAGTATATCAGATGGTACATCAGATGATTTACAACCATCAACAGAGAAAATACATGCTATTAAACAAGTATCATTTCAAATTGATAGTCGTCGTAATACATTAAATAATGAACCGAATCAACATTCATCAATATCATCTAGTTTTTTTAATGGTGATTTAGATATTAATAATGATATGTATTATAAATTACCATGTCCATGTTCAACAACACGTCAATTATTAATTAAATTTCATTTTGCACGACCATCATCACAATTAAATCGATGGTTATGTTGTTGTTGTATAAAAAATGAATTATCAGTAAATCGTGAGTCATCAATTGGAAGTCAAATTCAAGAGGAAACAACAAAAGTATTAACATCATCTACACAAAATAATCGTACAACAGCATCAAATAGTGAAACATTACGAAAGCAATTACATCGGCATCGTTTAAGACAAATACGTATGGCATCAACATTTTTAATTATAACAGTATCATTTGTTCTTTTTTATTTACCATCAATTTTAAATGCTGAACGAATTATAAAAAGCCCTATTATGATTTATTATTTGTATTTATGTACACATGCATTAAATCCAATTATTTATTGTTTTATGAATCGAAGTTTACGTGCATATGTTATTTCAATGTTTAATTGTCGTACGCGACAAAAAAAACGAAATATTCGTAAAGGAAAAACATTTGAACGATAACAATTTGTAACAATAATAATATTTTTTTTATTCTTGCATATTCTACGCTTCATTGTTGTGTATGTGATATTGTGCAAAAGAGAATAGTTTCCATAATGTCGAATATATATATATGTAGACATGTTTTTGTTTGTTAATTAAAATAGCAAATATTAGATGTCAATTATGAATGCAAGACATGAAATATAAAGTTTAAGCAAATATAGATAAGTAGTGCTGGTCATGAAACTCACATCTAATCTAATTCAACGGTTTCTAACTCGAAATTACTCAAAGTTACAAGATGTATTTTTTAAAAAGTGTATGAATAATTTTATTCAATGACAAGTTTTTCTATGTGTTCCGTTTAATATACAGCATGTAATAAACTTATAGAGGTCTGCGCTATATGGAATAAAATTAATATTGTATTATGCGAAGAGATCTAATTGTTTAATCCATACAGTCCTGGCCAAAAGTCCCTCACTCCTCTGAACTTTATCAGGATTTCAAGCTTTTAGTTTGAGATTTTGGCTACATGTGAGTACTGACCAACGCTGATCATAGGCACCAACCTGACATAAATTCAACGTAATAGAACAGAGTTATACACCAAACACAATCG